GATGGACTTGGAGAACATTATGCTAAGTGAAATAAGTCAGACAGGAAAGACAAATACTGTATGATATTACTTATATGTGGAATCTAAAAAATACAACAAACTAGTGACTATAACAAAAATGAAGCTGACACACAGAAATAGAGAATGAACTAGTGGTTACCAGTGGGGAGAGGGAGCGGGGGAGGGGCAATATAGGGGGAGGGGAATGAGAGGTACAAACTATTAGGCATAAAATAAGCTACAAGGATATATTGTACAACACGGGGAATATAGCCAATGTTTTATAATAACTATAAATGGAGTATAACCTTTAAAAAGTGTGAATCACTGTATCGTACACCTGTAATTTATATAATATTGTACAGCAACTATAGTTCAATAAAAAAAGTACCTGAGCATTGTAACCCCTGTTTTCTTTAGAATCAGAGGCAGCTCTCTCTAGATTATGCAGCTCTTCTGAGAGTTTGTAATTACTGTTATCAAAATTGGATACCTGCTGTTATGGGCTGAATTTATCCCCTTCAAATTCACATGCTGAAATCCTAACCAGGGCTTCCCTGGTGGCGCAGTGGTTGAGAGTCCGCCTGCCGATGCAGGGGACACGGGTTCGTGCCCCGGTCCGGGAAGATCCCACATGCCGCGGAGCGGCTGGGCGCGTGAGCCATGGCCGCTGAGCCTGCGCGTCCAGAGCCTGTGCTCCGCAACGGGAGAAGCCGCAACAGGGGGGGGGCCGCGTAACACAAAAAAAAAAAAAAAGAAATCCTAACCGCCAGTACTTCAGGATGTGATATATTTGGAGATAGTACCTTTGAAAAGGTGATTCAGGCCCATTACGGTGGGCCCTAATCCAATCTGACTGATGTCCTTATTAAGAAGAGAATATTTGGACACACAAGAGAGACACCAGGGGCACACAGGCACAGAGAAAAGGCCATGTGAAGAGGCAGCAAGAGTGTGGCCATCTGCAAGCCAAGGAGAGAGGCCTCAGGGGAAACTCATCCTGCTGATGTCTGGATCTTAGACTTTCAGCCTTCAGAACTGTGAGGAGACAAATTTCTATTGTTTAAGCCACCCAGTCTGTGGTATTTTGTAAAAGCAGTCCAAGCAAACTAACACACCTCTTCAAATAATTTTCCAAACACCATAGGGTAACATTTACAAAATAAGATGGCTCTTTCTTAATTTTTCATTTTTAATCAGGAACTTAGCAAACCCCAGTGTGTGAATGTGCCACAAACCAATCATTCAGTAGCAGATCCATGCAGCCTGCATAGCCTTCCTTTCTGATTTGGCTGTCCCTTGTCGACACCTGCTGCCCACAAAGCCCCAGAAGGCACTTCATCACTGCTGAGGTGGACAGCACACCACCCTACCCCCCAACCGTGATGAAACCACCACCTACTACGAGAATGCTACTGTCTCCTGACTTTTCAAAAGTAGCAGCTATCTTCCAGAGAAGGAGTGAGTTCTATGCAGAGGTGGGGAGAAGGGCCCCCTTCTCAAATCTGTGTGACACTTTGTCACGTTGGCCCCAAAGCAGCTCTGCTATGTTCAGAGGCTCCTAAAGTTTCTTTTAAACACATTTTGTTCAGCTTCTGCTGCTGATTCTGACTACTCGGCTCCAGTTCAATCCAAGTGGTAGTTGTGGAAGTATGTGCCATCTTATACCTTTTATTTCTCCCATTGAGACCCAAAGTTCCAAACAAACTCCCCCTCCTTCCCCAATTAAAATCTACCCTCCACAAATATCAGGGAACATGAGTCCCAGCTCAACCAGTCTACACGCCCTGTAACTCTTATAACCAATGTGTGAATCATTACAAGGTTGGTGGTATTGTGGGCTGTAGGAATAGGATTATATTTTTTAAATTTTATTTATTTATTTGTTTTTTGGCTGCATGGGGTCTTAGTTGCAGCACGCGGGATCTTTCATTGCGGCGCACTTCCTTGCAGTGTGTGGGCTTCTCTCCAGTTGCGGCGTGTGGGCTCAGTAGTTGCGGCGCACGGGCTTAGTTGCCCTGAGGCATGTGGGATCTTAGTTCCCCGACCAGGGACTGAACCAGCGTCCCCTGCATTGCAAGATGGATTCTTAACCACTGGACCACCAGGGAAGTCTTGTAGAATTTTATTTTTAACTTATCTTTAAGGTATGGATAAATTCAAGATTAATTTTTTGTGTTTTATTCTGGGGGTGGTTTAGAACTCAAATGTTTATTTATGCTGTCAAAGGGAAGAAAATGATTAGTAATTACGTTGAAAGAAGCACTTTCAACGCAGCTTTTCCCAGGATATTTCCCCCACGATCTAGTCTTCTTTTTAACCTTCCTTCTCTTTGTCCTCCACCCCCCAGTCTCTTCTAACTCTGTCACCTCCCCGTCTGTCCCCTGAGGTCCTGAACTGGCCACTTCCTTCTCCACAACTAAACCCCTGTTGCTAAATCCTGTATTGTTTTTAATAATGTCTTTTTACTTTCATTTTGAAATAATTTCAAACTACAGAAGAGTTGCAAGAATGGTACAAAGAAAGGCCATATGCCTTTCACCCAAATACATCAATTGTAAAAACATCTTGCCACTTTTTGTACTTTCCCTCCCTCCCTCCCTCTCTCTCTCTCTCTCTCTCTCTCTCTCTCTCTCTCTCTCTCTCTCTCTCTCTCTCTCTCTCTCTCACACACACACAGGTGTTTTTTTCCTGAATAATTTAAGACAGTTGCAGAAATCATATTCCTTTACCTCCAAATACTACAGATTTTTATATAAGGATCTTCTCTTACATAATTATCAAAAAATTTAACACTGATATAAGACTATTACCTAAAACATGGTTCACATAAAAAATTTGCTAGTTGTCCCAATAATATCCTTTATGGCAATCCCTTTCCTCCTTACCTCCAGGACCATGTTACATTTAGTTGTCACGTCTCTTTAATCGTCTTTAAACTTTGTCTACCATGAAATCTACATTTTTTGGAGATTACAGGGCAGTTGTTTTATAAATGTTTTCAATTTGGGTTTGCTGGATGATTCTATTCAGGTTATGCCTTTTTAGCATAATTAAAACTTTAGACTTACATTCTGCCACAAAGCAAAAGATGCATTTAAGCGTGTATAAAAGATCATAAAAGATGCATAAAAAAATCACACACTCCCAACAGGCTGCCATTGCTTCAAAAGCAGACAATCCCACCTATATGCTAAGAGGAACACATGTGATAAACTAGTTCACTTTGACATATTAGTGCTTGAAAACTTTCCCCCCAAGTCAATAAACCTTCTAGGTACCACTGTATTTTAAAAGAAAAATTTACTAACCCAAAGTCACAAAGGCATACGCTTTTCATTGCAGTTGTGGGCTGCTTTTCATGTAGGCAACTCTCTGCATGTTCAAGGGCGGGAATTATGTAATTTTACCTGGAGTTATTTTGAAAAAGGCCCTCACTAGGAAACATGCCAGGAGTAGCCCACTTTCTATAATAGATGCACCGAAGCTGTTACTCCCTCTTCAGTTTGTCTTGGTTTTCCTGAGGTTTATATATCACCTAGCAAGATCTTTAGGGACTGGACTGCAGAGCAGTTAAATTTTGGGTTGCAAAAGTTCAAATGTCTGGGGAGAGAAAGCCCAGCCAGAGCTGGGCTGGTTTTTGGCAGTGGAGAGCCGTGAACTCACTGAACAGCTGTGAGGGGCGAGCCTGTCATAATGAAGGAGGGGGTCCAGGGAGGGAGGTGAGGTTCAAACACAGCCCTGAGCTGTCTTCAAGTTTGCCCAAGGTTGGCCCTTTTCTGATTACGCCCCACGAACCAAAACGAAAGCAAGTTTATTACAAAATATAGAATTTTATACTTAGTGAGGATTTCAAATACAGGTTTTATTTAAGCCTGGCTGTTCTTAGAATGAAAATTTGCTATGAAGTGAATAAAGGAAATATTGTTTTACTTTTTATCTTTTAATATAGTGAAGAAACAGAGCATGACGTTTTCTCTCTCTCCATTTCCCAGGCAACGTTCCCAGCGTCTTCATGTCTTTATGTCCCCTCCCTCCCTTTTTTTTCCTTTGTAGAAGCAGCAGCAGCAACTTTGCACACAGATGTTTGGGAACAACAGGTGTAAGCCACTGATTGCATATGAGAAACCAAAGTTCCTATGTTACAGGCAAGGTGAGTAGCACAAACAGGAGGCAGTATTGTACAGAATGGCTAAAGAAATAACCAGTGAATGCAGCCTGTGGGATTTGTTACTTATATTGCATCCTCAGAATACAAGGTTCCTGTAGCTGAGTGAACTTGTGTCTGTGGAGTTCTAGAGTTATAGGAACATCCTGTAAACTTTTAATTGGAATTTTGAGCCTGGAATCATGTTGAAAGTTTTAGGGGAAGCACATCATTTAAACTAGTATCTATATGATGATAATGGGAGAAACAGTGAGATACTTATCAAACTAATTTTCATCGGTTGCTGAAGTACATATTACAGTTAAAAAAGAGTTTTTTGGTTAGGTAATTTAGCTTATAATACCTTTAAAGTATTACCTATAGTCAGACTCCCCATAACTTTGTTTTGTTTTAATCTTTATAATTTCTTTTGTTGTTGTTGTTGTTAGAAAGCTGAGTGGATCGTGAAGGTTCTCATCAAAAGAAAAAAGTTTTGTAACTATGTGAGGTGATGGATGTTAACTGAACTTACTGTGGTGATCATTTTGCAATATATACAAATATCGAGTCATTATGTTATATAACCTGAAACTAATATAATGTCAATTATATCTCCATTAAAAATGAATAAATAACCACTGCCAGAGAATAAAATAAAGCTTTCAGGTTTTTTTTTCTTTTTTTTTTTTGCGGTACGCGTGCCTCTCACTGTTGTGGCCTCTCCCGCCGCGGAGCACAGGCTCCGGACGCGCAGGCTCAGCGGCCATGGCTCACGGGCCCAGCTGCTCCGCAGCATGTGGCATCTTCCCGGACCGGGGCACGAACCCGCGTCCCCTGCATCGGCAGGCGGACTCTCAACCACTGCGCCACCAGGGAAACCCCTCAGTTTTTTATAATTTCTTTTAAAGTTCACTTTGTAAATGCGCCTTGCTTTGTAAGTTTTCCAGTGAGTATAAAAGGGGTCATTAATGTCTCCATTTGGTTTATAACAATCTCAACTTATTTAAATGCTCTTCACTGTAATTTAGAAGATGGAGCTGATTCTTCTGGTATTGCAGTATGATAGGTATTATTGGAACAACCTATTTTAGAACTTTTCTTGCGTAAGTATCCTGTGATCATAAAAACTAAGAGGTAAGAATAATGTAGTTATTGCTTGTATTTTGCAAACATGAATAACCTATAAACCAATATGTTCACTGCTGACAAGGAGAACAATTTCTAGTCGGTGGAGTTTAAGATGCTTAATTTTCCAGTCCAATAGTTTTAGTGTAGTCACTGAAAACAGAAATCTTTTTCTAGTCTTTCCTGAGGCCTTGGCTTCTTTTACTTCAGCACGTTTGGGGCTTCTCTCTTTTCTCTGCTTTCCTCAGAGGAGCTTCCTCTCCAGAGTCTTCTTCTGGGGAAATAATAATAAGGAGGAAGGCGACTGTGCGGCCGAAAAAATGGATGGAACTGAAAATGGTGGTAGCACATCGGAGGGAGGAAAGGTCTGTATGGGAGCCTAATGTGGACTCTGGGCCTTTGTGGTGGGAAAAAATGGAAGGGACATCTGGGTGTCCTGGTGATGGGCTGGATCCTCGTCACTGGGTTCCTTGTGGTGGGAGGAGGGGTAAGTGTAAAGATCTGGCAGTCTGTAGGCTCTGCATTATTTTGTGAGTCTCCAGGAGGGGTGAATACCTCTTCCTGTCCTGTGGGGAGAAAAGCGCAAGTCAGGAAACAGGCCTGATGACAGGAGCAGAGGGGAGAGTCTTCAGGTGGAGGCAGGGGAGAAAGAGCGGAAGAGAGAATTCTAGAGTCTCAAAGCATGTTTGAGAGAACTGCCCAGCCCAGTAAAATGAGACACGGACACTCCTTATGACCCAGAAATTCCACTCGGAATTTACCCAAGAGAAATGAGTGCTTATATCTACAAAAGACTAGCTCAAGAACGTTCACAACTGTCTTATTAACATTAACCCAAACCTGCTAACAATGCCAGTGTCCATCAATAGGAGAATGGATAAACAAACTGTGTATTCATACAATGAAAGAATACTCAGCAATGAAAAGGAAGAATTACTAATACGACAACATGGATGTATCCTATGATGTTATGTTGAGCAAAGAAGTTAGACACAAAAGAGTACATACTGTAAGATTCCATTTTTATGAAGTTCAAGAACAAGCAAAACTAATCTATGGTAAAAAAAAAAAGTCAAAAATAGTTAGCTTAGGGTTAGCGTAGGTGTTATTTAGTGGAAAAAGTGACCAGTGAATTCTTTAGATCTCGATCTGGGTGGTTGTTACATGAATATGGAGATAGATATACACACACACACATTTATATTTACACATACATACCTATATACACAAAAATACAAATGTACACACATATGTATACACACACACATATCTAAAATGTGATCAATATATGCCCTTAAGATTTGTGCATTTTATTGTGCATAAATAAAGAAAGAAAATTTGATGGAAAAAAAGTAATGTAAAGAAAAGGCCTGCTTCACTTCCCCAGCAGTGAAATCATTCCCTGAAGAGGAAGGGAGGGAACATCTACTTGCTCCAGGGGAATGAGCACTGAGGACCAGGATGACATTAATTTCTGAGAAGAAATTTGGATCAACCTCCAGTGTCAAGGTCTTCCCTCTAGCTGTATCATACAATCAAACTGGCTGCGAAAAAGCAAGCTTTCCTTTAGGAAATTATTTCTTCACTCCCTTAGAGACTTACCAAAGCAGGCCTGGAAAGGGTTGCTGAGTGTGAATGATGGAAAAATGAATTCCTCACAGTGAGTTGAGAGCTAGATTCCCCTCACCTTTAAAACAGCTGAATTCAGGTTTCTTGGTTGTACTGGGTATGCTTATTCATAGCCCCTTCTAGAGATTCTGTTTCACCCATAATACCTGGAAAGGTCAGTACTACACTCCTTTGGCTATGGCTGATTGGACTGTTGTTAGACACTCAACTCATTCATTGGCTGGCCAGTGACCAATCAGATTCTCACTCAAGAATTTCAACAGAGACACAGCTAGTGGAAGATGTTACTGGAAGTGGCAGGGCGGGGGCTGGAGTGTCAGGTATTGGCCAGTTGAATGTTGAATAAACAGAGAAACCAGTATTTCCACAGCTGTAAAATGGGGAAAGCCTCTCAAAGAGGAAAAGAGACAAGTGCCTCTGTGGTAACAGAGTGACGATGAGAGTAACCTTGACCCTTGACCTTCTCAGGGCTGGTCTTTTTGAGGGCTGGCTGTACTTAAGGTCCTTGGAAATATCTTTATAATAATCACCCCACCTCCAGCTCTATTCATTTTCTTTTAAGCAAGCTTGAATGGGTGTCTGTTTCTTGAATTAAATACTGACCCTTTCTCCCATACCCACCCAGGCTACTGAGCATTAAAATCTTATGGCTGAAACTAGATTAAGACATTTCAAACTACAGAAGATGACTAAATCCCATATTACTCATTCTTTCCTCTACACAATCAGATCAATTCTGAACCTTTGTAACATGAAAACTTTCTGCTGAGAACCCAGTCACTAGGGGAGAAGCTAGCCTTATTCTTAAATTTTAAAAAAAATTTATATATTATTAGCTGCGTTGGGTCTTCGTTGCTATGCACGGGCTTTCTCTAGTTGCGACGAGCAGGGGCTACTCTTCGTTGTGGTGCGCGGGATTCTCATCGTGGTGGCTTCTTTTGTTGCAGAGCATGGGCTCTAGGCATGCGGGCTTCAGTAGTTGTGGCGCACGGGCTTAGTTGCTCCGCGGAACGTGGGCTCTTCCCGGGCCAGGGCTCGAACCCGTGTCCCATACATTGGCAGGAGGATTCTTAACCACTGTGCCACCAGGGAAGTCTGAAGCTAGCCTTATTCTTAAGCTCCATCTTGACATTTTGCTATCAGATCAGGCTTAGCTAGGTCTTGGGCTCTGCCACTCAGTAAGCTGGACTCCAGTTTTTAAAATCACCCACCCCTTGTGCTTTTTCTGCTTCTTAAAACTGAGGCTATTCTCCAAATCCTCCTGACAATGGTGCTCTAGGCATCTGGAACCAGATTTTTAAAAGCCCAGAGCCATGGATGAGTTTTTTGAAGTAGTTTTTGTGGAATGGAGGAAACCGAGTCAGATTCCAGTGGCTTAAATAGGTGGGAAAAAAGAGACTCAGAAGTGTGTAGAGTTCTCTTTGAAGTGAGAGAAGTAGAACCAAAGAAGTTTATGGTAGGTCATGTCTCATTTCCTCAGGGAGGCCTTCCCTCCCTTGAGGCTGGCTTAAGGCCCCTGGCAACATGCTTCCCTAGCACCCTGTGAGTCCACTTGCATCATATTCAACAGTCATGTGATTACTATTCAGCGGTTGTATTCCTCCTGCACTGAAGTATCTGTCTGATCATCGCTAGCCCAGTGCCTACAGTGGACTTGAACAGACTGAGAGAAATCTCAGTTTCCATAATTTCAAAAGTTACCACATTCCCACCCCTCAGGGATAATGTGATCATTAATAAGCAAATATTTCTCATTATGTAACATACTGACATGACACCAGAGATACTGAATATCAAACACAAAGAGCTCTTCTGCAACTATAATTAGACCAAAGTAGGTCAAATATTTAAGCGCAGATTGGAAACATTTTGAGAGGCAGAACAGCATAGGATCCCTGAGCTCTGCCGTTTAATAATTGTGTGACCATCGACAGCTTCCTTGACCTCTCCCAGTCTTCTTTTCCTTATTTGCGAAATGGAGAAAATACTACTACCTATCTCACTGGCTTGTTGTAGTGTCTAAAATAAGATATGTAAAGTGCTGAGAACATGCCTGACATATGCATTTGGTAGGTCTTAGCTGTTGTTATTGGGCCTCCATCAAGACAAGGCCTGTTGACTCTGTTGGTCATTGCTATGTCCCTAGTACCCAGAACAGTCCCTGGCTTGGCCTCATACCCAGTACATAGCTGATTAATTGAATGAGGCAGAAGTTGAGTGTAGATGCTGAGTTCCTCTCTGTAGATTTTTGTGAAGCTCAGTATTTCATTCCAGTCCCAGAAAAAAATTTAAAAAAAAAATTTTTTGGCCTCGCTGCCCGGCATGCAGGATCCTAGTTCCCCCACCAGGGGTTGAACCTGTGCCCCCTGACGTGGGAGTGCAGAGACTTACCCACTGGACCGCCAGGGAAGTCCCTCCAGTCCCAGGAAAATTGCAATAATAACTTACATTCAAAATTAGAGGATAGGGCTTCCCGCGTGGCGCAGTGGTTAAGAATCCACCTGCCAATGCAGGGGACACGGGTTCCAGCCCTGGTCTGGGAAGATCCCACGTGCCGTGGAGCAACTAAGCCCATGTGCCACAACTCCTGAGCCTGTGCTCTAGAGCCCACAAGCCACAATTACTGAAGCCCGTGCACCTAGAACCTGTGCTCCACAACAAGAGAAGCCACTGCAAAGAGAAGCCTGCGCACCGCAACGAAGAATAGCCCCTGCTTGCTGCAACTAGAGAAAGCCCTAACTCAGCAACGAAGACCCAATGCAGCCAAAAATAAAATAAAATAAATTAAAAAAATTAAAGGATAATAAAATAATCAAGACCCAAAATATTGCTTGGAGTTTGGACATCAATTTTAAGTGGGTTTACTATAGTCTAGACATAAAATTCATCGTATGCTAACAACTAGTACTTAAAAAAAAAAAAGTAAGGGTGAGATGACCTTTTTTAAAAATATATAATTATCTGTACTCTGTGGTTATTTGGGCAGACAATAGCTGGTTTGTAGTGAACTACCCTGATTTCTAAGAGAAGTAAGTTTTATACTTGATGTATAAGTATGCAGTTCTTCTTTTACACTTGGAGTATCACAAAAATTCTCAGGTGCCTTTAGAGTCGAACCAAAAAGAAATATAAGTCCTGTGATTAATTTGCTCACAGTAACTGCAACTTAATTCATTTTGTAGACTCACAGAATAACTGGCTATTTTAGCCAAATCTCTAATTTTACAGGTAAAGACACTGGAGCCCAGTTCATACAAGTTCACACAGGCCTCTTTCAATCCTATGCTATAAGTCTAGTAGTTTCAACAGTGCTGTGACAAATGCAGAGGTGATAAAGACATGGGGCCTGCCCTCGAGAGGTGGGGAGACGTTACAAATACATGGATCTATAATGCAGAGCAGAATGCAGTATGGACCATGGGTGATATACAAATTGCTCTAAGAATTCAAAGATGTCAGAGAGAAGGAGATTGCAATTTTAAAGCTATGTGTCTTAAGAAAGCCTTATGTGAAGGTAATACTATAGTGACATTAAACGTCACCATGTGAAGCAGAATTGCAATAAACAGAGGTGAAATCAGGAGTGGGGGCAACCATAGCTGCTGCTGTGGAGGACAGAGAGAACAGGGTGGGTTTGGAGACCCACACATGACCCTGTCTGGCAGAGCCAGGGCATGTGTAAGTGGGTGATGGCCTGGAGCCAGGGCTGCCTGGAGAGAGTGAAGCTGCATTTGAAGGTCTTTGAGGCTAGTCTGAGGGATAGTGGGGAAGAGTGAGCCTAAATCAGAAATCACATTTTAATGGTGTTTTTAAAAAAAATGTGAATAAACCTCTAATCTCATTACAACTTATTTAGCTACGTATTTACAAGGTTTCCTGAAGTGTGGTTGACTTTCTGGAAAGGTGCCCGGTGTCAGGTTTTGTTTTATGGTGCCACTTTCAGATGTCACTTTTAGTGGGTGATGTTTGCAGGTCTTGTCTTGGGAATCGGGCAGGTGTTCTTTGTAATCTGTCTCCTTGCCCTCTGATCGCCTGAGTTCATGCAGAGATTGGACAAGGTGATCTCTGGTGGCCTCACCACCACCTCTGATGTCCCTGCCCCTTTCTGTTCTGTTGTGAGCTTTGGTGGATGGGTGCAGGGAACTTGCTAGGGGATGACTAGGGTCTGACTGAGCTCCTGCAAAGCCCCAGCCCACGTGAAAGTGGTGGAGGACTCAGTTTGACTCCTGGGGCTCTCCCCCTTTTCTTTTCTGTCCCCAGGGTTTGTAAGCCAATGCTCTGGCTCAGGCCATCTGGAAATTTTGTAGTGGGGGAAAAGGAAAGAGAAAGGAGTAGGGGAGAAATTGAATCTAATAGAATCTTAAAGAAAGAAGTCTAGGCTAACCTCCACAGCACCAAGACACAACTGACTAGATGTGATTAATTAAAGCAGTTAATAAACAGAGACTGAACACCCACCATGGGCAAAATACCATGCTGTTGGGCATATAAAGAGGTGGACATTGCTGTAATTCAGGGTGGAAATTGTTAGCTCTATATCAATAATAACTAGTATTCATATAGTGCTTGAAGGATGAAGAGCTTTTCTTGCATGATAGCTCATTTGGTCCTCACGACCTCCATAATAATGGACATCATTAATGCTGTCACTTCACACTTGGGGAAATGGATAGCAGAACAGTTAAGTGTGTCTAAAGTCACATAGCTAGGGCTGAGACTAGGACCTTCCGATGATAAAATTCAGCGTCTTTCTCTTTAACCACACAGGCTGATGAAAACTGACGTAAATAGTTCCAGTTCACGATATGCATAATCATGGAGCCAAATTTTGTCTTTTCACACAACTTATTAATTACTGGACCCACAGTAGAATAAAAACGAAACCCTTACCTTCTGCCACAGTTACCACCAACCAGCAGACCAGTAGCCAGTAGGAGAAGCAGAGTCTGTGAGCCATGGCTTCTACCCCAAGAAGACACTGCCTTGGACCCAACGTGGCTTAAAAGGGGTTGGTGAGTCACCCGCAGACTGATTCAGGGAGTTTTCATTTGCATAGTGGACCACAGGGATTAGGGCCTGTGGTGTGAGGGTAAGAAATCAGCAAGGAAATACCAGACAGTATTTGTCAACCAGAGCTTCTTGTAATGACAGCCAAACGTCATTCATCTGTCCTTGGTTGGAGTTGGATTGTGGACAACCACGCCCTCACTATCCTTTTAATTCCTTCAAACTTTCCCTCTTAGTGCCTTCTCATTACTTGTGTATATAGGTCTCTCTCAGCAAGAGAAAGAATCTGTCCAGGAAATGTTCAGCACCGCTTCCCTCTGTGTAGCTTACTTACTTAACAACCAAACCAAACAGGACAGGGAGGACATTCTCTAAAGGCTTTGTGACCCCTGCAGTTTGAAGAGGCTGTTCACAGATCTCGGATCAGGGATTATGACTTCTTCTCTGCTTTTGTCAAGGAGCCAAGAGCAGCAGAGTCGGAAAACTATCTTCTCTAGTAGCCATCATGGTCACTGTCTAAACAAACATGAACATTTTGGGAGATTAACTTAGTGATTTGTCCTTCCAAGGTCCCCCCTGATTCATCAAACTGCCCGTAAGATGCCTGGTTTGTTTCCTGTCAGCTGCTGGAGGAATGGGAGTGGGCGGTCACAAGTGCTTAAAAGCACAGACATTGGAGTTAGAGATGATCGTACTAAGTGAAGTAGGTCAGAAAGAGAAAGACACGGGCTTCCCTGGTGGCGCAGTGGTTGCGAGTCCCCCTGCCGATGCAGGGGACACGGGTTCGTGCCCCGGTCCGGGAAGATCCCACATGCCGCGGAGCGGCTGGGCCCGTGAGCCATGGCCACTGAGCCTGTGGGTCCGGAGCCTGTGCTCCGCAACGGGAGAGGCCACAGCAGTGAGAGGCCTGCGTACCACAAAAAAAAAAAAAAAGAAAAGAAAAGAAAGAAAGAAAAAAAAAAACTAGTCCTGGGTCTTTTGTATAAGTGATTGGAAAAAAGGCACACATTTTGCCTTTGGACTTGAAGTTGGGAAGAGACATGAAGAGAGAGTCTGCTCAATAAAACAGAGTGGAGAGATATCAGATTCTGACAACATCATTTGAACCTCTGAATCCAGCTATACCTGAAGCCGTACACAGTGCACGGCATGTGGTATGCTAAAATGGATTTTAAAGTATTCCCAACATAGACTTATAGAAACAAATCACATAGAGAATAAAGATTCTAAGTCTAGTGCTGCTTGCTAAATGGAAAGAAGAGCTATTAACTTTTATATTCTTGTATTTGATTACAAACTATAGAAGTAGACAAGGAGTAGAAAATTATGTCAGTTCCAGTGGCTGGGTAAGGCATTTGCAGAGATTAAGACCGATCTTTTTCTCATTCCATGCATTCTTCCTGAGAGCTGAGAGAAACCCAGTGACTAGACAGACTCCCAAGCAGGTGGAAGCTGTGGATACCTGAATGTCTTAGCTGTATATGCGGTGAGGTGACTTCACCCTGCGTGCTCAGCCGCCCTGTTTATGCTTGGCAGTAGCATCAGACAGATCCGGATTGTGGCGATGAGTCGCTATGGGCTTTCCCCAGCCTCAGACATAGGGTGAGTTCACATTTTATCCTTCAGCCTCTAACTGCCCCCCTAGGAGCTCCTGAATGGAATGATTGAAGTCTGGCCTTCAGGTGTTTTGAATATTCAATAGTAATTCAGCATTCAGTGAATCGAAATCTCTGGGTCTGGCGTTGTAGATCAGGGTCGACAACGTGTCTCTGTATAACAGCGAGAAAATGTGTCATTATACCAGCTGTGAGACCATGAGCAAGTTACCTGACTTTTCTAATTTCCTCATCTATAAAATGAGAATAATAAGAGTACCTACCTCATAGGTTTGTTGGGAGGTTAAATGAGTTAATACCATTCAAGCACTTTCAGTGGAGATTGGTGCCATGTAAATGTTAGCTATCATTACTACTGAAAAATAATATAACTTTCTGTCTTGGACAAACATCTCCTCTAGAACCTGGATATCTGAAACAAAACAAAGGCAGAATGTAAGGATTTATGAAGATTGTGAAAAGTTCTATGAGAGTGTGCAATACTTCTCAGGTAGCAGTACTCTGAAGTCCTGTTTTTTAGTTTTTTGAGGTATTGAGTCAGTTGGAAAGCTGAATGGGAAATTTCTCAACAGGAAATGAAGGGGGTTTTCTTTGGGGTTCTGCTAGGTGATCAGTCACAGGCAAGCTAACTAAAATCTTGTCATCATACCTTCCCAGACAGTGGTTTCTGTAACTTGCAATAGTAAAGCTGGCGGGGGGTTGAGAGAGTTCTTGGAAATATCCAGGAGTTACAGGAAATGGTAGTAATTTAAGACTTGGATTCAACTTTAGCCAATGTCTCCAGGAGATGATGAGGGTAATGGTAACAAGCAACTACTAGTTTTTCAGAAATGGCATAGTTTTGATTTAAATTTGTAGAATGCTGTTAACATTTTATTTTCTCTCCCGCCCTCCCTGCCTGCCTTTTTCCTTCCTCTCCTTTCTCTCTCTCTCTCACACCGCCCCCTGCCCCACCCCCAGAAGTATATGCTCCCTTCTCTAGAACTAGGCACTTTTAACAGTTTGCCATATATCCTTCCATACCTTTTCCTATATATTTACATACACGCACACTCAGAAACTGTTCTGTAGGTGGCTTTAAAAAATTGTTATATAAATGGGATATTTTGTGTTGCCTTCTAAATTATTTCTTTTTCACTTAAAATATGTCTTTTCTTTCCATGCCAATCCATATAGATTGATCTCTTTCTTTTGAATTGTTGCTTGTTATTGCCTTTATGGGTGCACCATAGTTTTATTGATTGATTCACCACTTGGTGGAATTTGGGTTGCTTTCCATTTTCTGCTCTTACAAACAATCCTCCCATAGCCCTCTCTGGGCACATGCAGAGTGCCTTTGCTATAAGGTACATTTAAAAATAACTTGCTGAAACTGTTTTTAGATTTAAATTATAGAATACGTTTTCATTTCACTCTAAAATTTTCCAGTCCCTGTGGGCCTTGGTGAGTTTGATCCTTTGGATAGCCACATTTCATTGCTGGCTAAAACCATCTCCTATCTTTTCAACAAAATATGTCCAGATAATGGTGACAGCCACAGAAAGGTGAAATGTACATCTCAATAAGGCATTCCGTACTTTTAAGGCCCACCCACAAGTCATAGTCACTCATAGAGTGGCAGCCAATACATTTTTTTAAATCGTCAGGATTTCAGAGGTCATTCCCTTCAGCTGTAAAGCCTGGTAGCACGTTGTACCACTATAAAGTCTACCTCTTTTATAAGCACCAGTACCCTTCATTTCTAATTAAATTCTATGTTGAGTACACTTTGCTGGCAAGTCTGCAACTGACGCCCATCTCCACAAGGTGCTCACCTCTAGTATTTGTGGTTAGCATGCTGCACAGCCTGTATGCTTCATTATCTTTGTTTGATAAAACACTTCTCTTTTAAAAAGCATGAGGCCAGATTTGCTGAGTCATATGTGATGTTATTTTTTAACTGCACAAGCTCTACCACAAGGATTTGGGAAATTTATGATCTGACACAAATCTGTCGGGGACTCCTCAGCTAAGGTTAGTTCAAAGACTGTCTATTTAGTAAGTGACTGGGTACTCTGAGACAGTGCTACTCAAAGTAGCTAGTCCAGAATGAGATAAGGTGCTCCTCCTTCTACAATGTAAATCAACACATTGTTTCATTCAGGGAGAAAATCTTGCTGTGAAAAAATGTTGACTAAATAGTGGGCTTGGTGGTGTAGTTGATTTACTTGCTGGTGCCAGCTCTTTCACTTGGACACTGGTTTCCGAACCACATGATGAATAGCACTGTTTAAAGTGAAATCGAATGAATAAATGAATGAATGAAACATATCTAAGATAAATGACTTCTCAGGGTTGACGTGGGAGGATATGATTAAATAAAATTTTCCCTTTCAGTGGGACAATGTTCCTTGCCTGCTTTTGAAATGCCACAGAGAGGGAAAGTTTATTTAAGGCACAAATAGCTCAACTGGCCACTGTTGCCCGTACTACTATTATTCCCTGTCTCCCTACCAAGTTCATTTTCCCCTTCTTGTGTTTTGCCCTTCTTCCTGTTCTTATCTCCTTTTCCCATGCTCCTGCCATGGCATTTAAAGAGAGAAAAATAATGTATGGAAAGCTCATTGTATGGTCTATGTTTTACAACCAGTTAAATATAATTCTCACTACAACAGGGTGAGGAAGGTATTACTGTCCACTTTGTAAATAGAGAAGCTCAGTAACTTGGCCCAGGTCCCATAATGTAATAAACTGACAGGCTTGAGAACTGAACCCAGGTTTGTTTGGTTCTCCCCAGGGGGTTGGGTCTCCTACTCTCACATCTAAGGAGGGTGCTAACAGAATCCAGGCTCTGGGACAGAACCTTTTAAGGTGCCCACACTGACACACTTAAGTTCCATTTTGGAACTTGGAGCTTCCATTAATTTCATAGTCACCCACTTTAATTGCCATGGTCCTGCCATGTTGCCCACTTCTCTGTGTTTGTGTTACATACATGTGCGTCCCTGTAGGCTGTGAATTCCTTCATCTAATCATCTTTGTATCCCTCGCAACAGTGTATGGGGCTTTGAAAGCGGCACACTCGATGGGTTATGATGTTAAATATGCTAGTCTATAAACTTCTTTATGTGCCTAAGATAAAGATTAAATGAATGAGACTGAGACTGAAGCACTTATACTTTAAGATGTTGCGGTATGAATTCTATTGCACAGGTGTGTCTACTAATAAAGCAGGGCACAGTGTGGAGAAAGGCATCAGGCAGCCCATCCTCCTGAAATGCACTCCATGGTGTCCCTGGATTATGACTTTTGGAACGTCTTACTAGTCTCTAACTTCCTTGAGGGTAGGAACTGGTCTTTTATCGGTTCTCTAGTGCCTACATTTCCTGGCATACAGTTCCTGAAACCTGAAAAATACTTGTGAAATTGTTGAATGTGCTAAGTTCTCAGCATTTCCTCTTAAACTGCTGTTACTGGTGCTTACTATGGACCCCCATGCGGTTCTTAAATGACAGATTGTATCTGGCTTCTGCTTCTGAGGTTTCCTTGTACTGGTCCGACATTTTCTTCTCCCAACTCCATCTCTTCCAGCTCCTGCTTTGCATCAGGCATAATTCTATGAGCAGAAGTACAGCTGGGAGGAAGGTGAGGGACGTGGGAGCATGGGCACCACGGTTTCTCCTGAGCAAATCTCCAAAAGGGAGATGTGACAGTTCTTAGAAGTATGGTGAAATGCAGTTTGAGGAATCAAAGTCTATCAGGTGTAAGCTTCCAGGAGTGCTCTCTTAGTGCAGTACTTAATGCCCGTAGCATGGAATTGTGACAACACACGGGAAATGCTGCCTACCAGGGAAGCTCATGAAAGATTCAGTGTCCAGGTTTTCCTGGGGGCTGCTCATGTAGGTACTCTTTGCCTAAGATATTCCCCAATATCAGCACATTATCAAATGTGCTTGGCATAAACCACATTGTTTCTACAAACTGTTGAGGCACAGAGAGCCCCTCTTATCAGGGAATGGTGGAAACCCTTCTGAAATCCAAATTCCCAGATGCCGGCCAACCTTGCAATCAGGTCTTTCTACGGACAGCAGTCTCAGGCGTGCTATGCTAATTCCTTTTTTTCAGACCCCTCAGCTTCAGATTTGTGTGTGGGGTGTGCCACCTTTACAGATCTTACGGGATGTAGGAGCAGTGGCCCCCATCATATCTCCATTTAATTCACCACTCTGGATCCTGCAAATTTAGATAGATGCTGCAGGATGACAGCAGACTAAAGCAAATTCAGCCAAGTGGTAGCCCTGACTACGGCTGTGTGCCAGATGTGACATCTTGCTAGAGTCAATTAACATGGCTCTGGGTACATGGTATGCAATCAGTGATCGGTTGGGTGCATGCTTTCCCATCCCTATTAAAAAACAAGATCAGAAACTATTCACTTTCACGTGGAATTAATAAAAAGCGATGTTAACAGCCTACGTTATAACTCTCCTGCTTCTGTTATAATTGAAAGAGACCCAATCCAGGTAGATATTCTACAGAAAATCAGTTCACTATATTGATGGATTATGTTAATCAAATGGGATGAGCAAGATGTGACTAGTAGATTTGATGCCTTGATAAAGTACATATGTTCTAGAGGGTGAGATAAAACCCATGAGATTCAGGGGCCTACCACATGAGTAAGATTTTTGGGGAGGAGTGTCCAATGACCAGGGGCACGCTAGGACATGCCCTCTGAAGTAAAGGACAAATTAGTACAACTTGCATCTCCCACTATGAATAAGGAAGCACAATGCCTAATAAGCCTCTCTGGGTTCTGACGGCAGTGTATTACAAATCTGAGAATACTGCTCTCAGTTATATACTGGTGACATGAGGCTGCCAGTTTCGAGCGAGGCTGAAAGGAAAGAGGTCTATGGCAGATTCATATTGTGGTGGAAGCAGGCCTGCTACTTGGGTCACCTAACCTAGCAGACCCTAAGAAAGATATTACAGTTATTGGTGGAGGAAAAAATGTAGCAGAAGTTAAAGCAAAACCACTGTATACATACTCTTGATTTTTCTCTGCTCATTTTATTGAATAACTGAATGTATAAAAACCACATAGAGAACATTACTGGAAAAAATTTTTTATTCTTCAAATATATAATGGATTCTTCACCACTCAAATTATTTCTATAATAATTTTATCTTTTTATTAAAACTATATATATATATATATTTTTTTTTTTTTTTTCGGTACGCGGGCCTCTCACTGTTGCGGCCTCTCCTGTTGCAGAGCACAGGCTCCGGACGCGCAGGCTCAGCGGCCATGGCTCACGGGCCCAGCCGCTCTACAGCATGTGGGATCCTCCAGGACCGGGGCACAAACCCGTGTCCCCTGCATTGGCAGGAGGACTCTCAACCACTGCGCCACCAGGGAAGCCCCGTAAATATATATTTTTAATACACTTCATCTTTTCTCAAATGAATGACTATGGTATAATTGTGATTATCTTTAGCAACCAAAATCTATTTCCAGAAATTTAAACTTGATATGGAGAAAAATGCCATATCAAGTCCTTTGTACCTGATTTGGTGCTGAGGTTGAACTGGTGTATTGGTTTGTTCCAGGATCCAGAGGCTATTCCAAGCTTGAAAGCAAAGTGATATCCTTAGGTTGGCCTTGGCTGCTTAAGGAACCTCTGGATGCGGGATGACTGGCTCTGCTCTGCACAGGACGGTTCCTTCTCAGGCTAGGCTGGAATCTCTGGGAACAGTGGACTGAGGTATGCACCGTGTTCAGGCATTTGTTTGGGTGGCAGGTGGAGAGGACCCTATCTCTTATGTCAGATTTCTATCTATTGGTAATCATTTCTCCATAAAAATAAGTGGCAAGTGGAAAGCTCTGGTTTCTTGATGATACCAATACTTTGCCCACAGTTCTCTCTCTCTTGATGATACTAAGACCAACGAAAAAGAAGACAAAAGCTGAGTTCACTGTGAACACTAGTAGTAGAAGTGACTGCGGCAACTGTGACGATAGTGGCAGAAACTGGGGACTGATTTTTGGATAGGTCTTCTGGGCTTGATTTATTCTAAGCAGCCAGCAGAGATCTAGGATTTGGACATACTGTGCTTGGATCTATCCTCTTAGTTTTCTCCACTGTCCACTGACTTTAATTTTTTTTTTTTGCTCAAAAACAGGTTGAGGGAAAGAGTCTCCATCTCTATCACAGAATCTCCGTAAAACTTAAGATCATACCCAAACTTCCCATTAGAGTGTCCACTATGAATTCAAAATTAAATAACTCAAATAAATAATGGGTAGGTAATGAGTTTTTTTTTTAAGGTAGTAAAACGATAGGACCTCCAAGATTTCTTCTTAGCATAATGCTAATCTTTCAAATGTGGGTAAAATCCTATTTAGAGGGAAGGTTTGGAATCCTACATAAAAATGTAACGTGCGTTAAAACAGAAAATTCTTAAATATAAAAAAATTCAAGTGACCATATCCTTACTGATATTAATGTAACACAAATAAAATTACAATGAACATTAGCAAAAAATGCAGCTCATTTCTAGTTAACACATTGAAATAACTGATATTCAAACTTTAACTATTATAGCATGGACGTGTGAATGAAGTTCATGAACGTACACATGCTTCAAAGTAGAATTTGGCTTTGGGCTAGTAATTTTATTCTGATCTACAGTGTTTATGACTCTTCATTCCAGTTGTTTTTACTAAGAAATTAGGAGATAAACCTAAATTTCTGACCCTTGGATTAATTAGAAAATAACTAAGAGGTATTCTTTTGTAAATTCAGTAAGAAGCTATTCTAAAATTGCTGTTTACTTATCCAATTCTCTAAATAAAAGCTCTTGGATAGTAATCTACTCTCCTAATTAAAGGAAAATATTATAACTCTCTCTCCAATTCCTATTTTAACTAGAAGAGCCACATCATTATTTTTAATGGCTTCTTCTGCATTTCGTATTTTAAAAAACGTTAGTAACACTACTTTCTGTAAAATACAAAACAGCATTGAAAGTATCCAGTTACTACTGGCATTCAGATTTTGAAGATACACCTTTATGATGAAATAACAGTCATGAAACAAACTGTTCAGAACTGTCAGAGTAACCATTTGAAAATCAGATTTATGATCCTCTTTAAAAATTTGTTAAAGCTATGCTGGTTTACATCAAAGTACTCCTAGTGAGGAGAAATGATGTACTGTACCGAAAAAACAAGACCTCATCAGGGGTCTTCTTAACTTGGCTCTGAACAACTTTAAAAGCCAAAAGATCTGCACCATATGTTGTTCTCAAGGTCAGTACCATGGGATGCCCTGTAAAAAGATCTTTTGGTATTACTGATAACAAAAGCACCTTGGATTGGATCCAAGATGGACATGTGTTATAAATGAATTCTGCTTTGTGGTAAAATACAGTTAAAGTACAATTCAACGTACTTACCATAAAGCCTACATAAGCAAAGTTACTCCTTTGAAGCCAAAAATCTGATGCTGCTAAAGTGTCCAGTTTCTACTATTACAGCTTAATGTGGCTGATTTGAAATCATTTCCTTAGTCCTACAGAATCTTCTTGATTTTTAACATCTTACAATACTGACCTGGCACTAGTTTAGGTCTATAAAAACATAATTGTCACAAGTCACCCAATAACATGGCAACCAGCACAAATTTCTGCACATCTTAAAAAAAAAAAAGCCTTTGGATAATAACACTAATGCGTAATGCTGCGGAGGATCCAAAGAAGCACTCTAAATGACAGATATTATTTAATGATGGTAATCATTTTCTGAAAAGCTGTACCAATAACAATTTTAGGTAGAACATAACATGAAATTATTTCATGAAATATAGTCTTGTTCTATGCTCTCCTGACACCACTCCCAAGAGAAAGCTTCCAGTCTATTTGCTGTTTCTTTGCTGATGAGACATTCATCCTTTAATTCCCTGATTGTCTTCCTCAATGATTTTTGTAAACGTCTTTCTCGGCCTAAAACATTCCGCAGACTTTTCTTGGTATCCTCTAGCTCGCTGATCACTTGATCTAATTTATGCTTAAGTTTCTTTGGACTGTCCATCACACTGTAGCTATGTTCCTAAAAACATAAACACCAAGTTATTAAACCAGACAGACAAGCAGTGAGATAAAAAATTATAACTAGGCCTCAGCTATTTCTCCACTTACTAAGAGAAGATCTTTAAGTTGGTGATACTAAGAGGTTTAAAGAACACAGGAAGAGGATGGGGGTAGAACAGTATTTTTGGCGCCTAGGGCCTCCCTCTTTGTCTAAGGCCAGGCATACACGAGGAGTACAGAATCCTGTGGATGGGAAGTACTTCTCACCTGGAGGTAGGTATCTGCTTATGAACAGCGAGACATTCACAATGACTATACAGCTTTTGGTCCCTAAGTGTGGAGCTGCTAAGTTTAAGTTTTACCTATCACAAAAACTTAAATTTTTAAACTTTTAACTGAATTGCTTTATTTTGATGAATATTTCACTTTATAAGGTATGACAGGAAAGGAGCACTGAAGCAGGTCCTCAGGCTGGGTGTTATGGATTTAGAGATGACTCTGGTCTTGGGGTTTTAAAGAGATAATTTAAGTTCTCAGTATTTACTGTGGTTATGTTTATGTCTGCTGGGTAGACTTTTCTTCATCCAAAAACAACACTGACATATCTTATAAACGTAACATAAAATAATTTTGAAAAGCTGTTACTTAAAATTAGTGAAGAGGACTTTGCCTTCAGCCAAGATGCGGTAACATAGACTGGATTGACTCCTATCTAAAAAAACCCCAACACATGGCCAAAAGATGTAAAAATGTTTGAAGATAAACCGACATCAGGCAACGAAGGCAGATACTGCAGAGAGATGGGAAACAAAGAGGTGAGTCCTAAGATTGCCCAGCTTACTGCCTTGAGAGAGTTCTAGGCCTCAGTGCAAGGGGAGGAAACCCAGGTAGAGCTTGGTAGATAGAGTTGAGGAGACAGTGCAAAGTATCCAGGGAGACCAAGGTGGCTACAGTTCATAGGGCAAAGTATTAGAGAGGAAAGAGCTACACAGAGAGAGAACACTGGAGATCTTCAGAGGCTCCCCCTCAAGTATTTCCTTGTAGGAAACTGCTCGAGGTTGAGGAAAGAGTGACCAGAACAGGTCAGGAGTGCCCTGAGCTCACAGAGCATAGACACTACTCCCACCAGGCAGACCAGATTCATGGGGCACTGAGCAGAGTATACAAAAGTCTTGCCTCAGTGGTGGAGAATAAATAGCCTGAGCACTGTTCTAGTCCTACCTAACAAAGCAAAACCTGAAAGGATCAAATTGTTTCCAAATAACCAAACTCCATAACCAAGCTCAAGAAAACAGGACAAAAAACTATCCAACATCCAGCAAAGTAAAATCCGGCACTCAAAATTTACCAGGCACACAAAGCAGCAGGAAAATACGCGCCATAGTAAGAGATAAACCAATCAATAGAAACCAACCCAGAACTGACAAATGTTAGAATCAGCAGACAAGGGAATTAACAAAGTTATTAAAACTGTATTATATATGTTTAAAAGTTAAGCAGAGACATGAAAGATATTAAAAAAGAATCAAATAGGATACCTGTACATAAAACTTACAATTTAAATTTATTTATAATAAATTTAATAGATTTGTTATCATAATAAATAATATATAACAGATTTACTATTATTTAAATCTCTTTAAAAGATAATTTATTGTTTAAACAAAAATAATAAAATGTAGTGTGGGGTTCATAGCATATGTAAAGTGAAATGTATGATAGCAGTAGCAAAAAAGGTTGGAGAGGAGAAATAAAGTATATTATGATAAGATTCATATACTATATGCTAAGTGGAATAATATCACTTATCATGTAGCCTGTGGTAAATTAAATATGGATGCTATAAACCCAAAAGCAACTATCAAAGCGTTATGGCTGATGAGTGAAAAAAAGGAGATAAAATGGAATTGTAAAAAAATTCAGTTAATCCAAAAGAAGGCAAAAAAAGAAGAAAATGAGAACAAAGAACAAATGGAACAGGAAATAAGATGACAGATTTAAACCAAACCATATCACATTAAGTAATGTGATATAAAAAAATTTAAAGTAATGTAATAATAATCACATTAAGTATAGAGTTTAAATAATCCAATTAAAAGGCAGAAATTATCAGGTTATATTAAAAAAATCAAGACCCAAGAGTACATGCTGCCCAGAAAAAAAGCACTTTAAAGATAAAAAGACACAAACAGGTTGAAAGTAAAGGAGTTGAAAAAGATACACTACAATAACACTAATAAACAGAGAACTAGAGTGGATATGTTACTATCAGACAAAGTAGACTTCAGAGCAATGAATATTACCAGGGATAAAGAAGGCCATTTCTTAAAGGGGTTAATTTATCAAGACATAAGAATACTAAATATTTAGTACCTAATAACAGCTGCAAAATGTAACAAGCAAAAACTGACAATTTAAGGAGAATTAGACAAATCCACAGGTATACTAGAAGATTCACAGCTCTCTCTCAATAAAAGATAGAACAAGTAGACAGAAATTAATTAAGAATGCAGATTTGAACATTATCAATTTGACCTAATTGACATTTATAGAACATTCTGGTTAACATCAGCAAACTATACATTCTTTGCAAATGCATGCAGAACGTTTACCAAGACAGACCATATTGTAGGCTATAAGTCTCAAAAAAATTAAAAGCATTCAAGTCACACAATGTATATTCTCTGACCACAACAGAATTAAGTTAGAAATTAATAATAGAAAGATATTGGGGAAATTCCCCAATATTTGCAAACTATATAGCACACTTCCAAACAACCTGTGGATCAAAGAACAAATCAAAATGGAATTTGGAAGTATTTTGAACTAAATGAAAATGAAAACACATTTAATTTGTGGGATGCTGCTAAAGCAATACTTAAGGAGAAATTAATATCACTAAATGCTAACGTTAGAAAGGAAGAAGCCTCAAATCTATGACCTCAGCTTCCATCTTAAGAAACTAGAAAGATGAGGGCTTCCCTGGTAGCGCAGTGGTTGAGAGTCTGCCTGCCGATACAGCGGACACAGGTTCGTGCCCCAGTCTGGGAAGATCCCACATGCCGCGGAGTGGCTGGGCCTGTGAGCCATGGCTGCTGAGTCTGCACGTCTGGAGCCTGTGCTCCGCAACGGGAGAGGCCACGGCAGTGAGAGGCCCGCGTACCACCAAAAAAAAAAAAAAGAAACTAGAAAGATGAGCACATTTTACTGAAATAAGTAAAAGGAAATAATAAAGATGAGTGGAAATCAGTGAAGTAGAAAATAAAAACAACAAAAAAAATGAGAAAAATCAGTGAAAGCTAGTTCTTGACAAGATCAATAAAACTGATAAATCTCTAGGCAGACTAATCAGCAATAAAAGAAAACAGAAACAAATCACTGACATCAGAAATGAGACAGATGGTATCACTACAGATTCTACAGATATTGAAAAGATAATAAGGAAATGTTTTGAATAATTTTAAGCTAATAAACTTGACAACTGAAATAAAATGGACAAATCCCTTGGAAGGTAACAAGCTCCTTAAAAAACTTTCCCACAAAGAAAATTACAGTCCCAGATTGTTTTACTGGGGAATTCTACCAAACATTTATAGAAGAAATAACTGCAAATCTATACAAACTTTTCTAGAAAACTGAAAAATAAGGCAACATTTTCTAACTTTTTCTTTGAGGTTAGCATTATTCTGATACTGAAACCAGACAAAGATATTCAAAGGAAAGAAAACTATAGGCCAATATTCTTTGTGAACATACAAGGAAAGATTCTAAACAAAATTTTAAATCTAATCCAACAATATATAAAAGGGATAACATCATGAAGTAGGGTGTATTCCAGAATGCAAGGCTGGTTTAACATTAAGAAATTAACTGGGGAATTCCCTGGTGGTCCAGTGGTTAGGACTCTGCTTTTACTGCCGAGGGCCCAGGTTCAAATCCCTGGTGGGGTAACTAAGATCCCACAAGCCATGTGGTGTGGCCAAAAATAAAAACAAATCAATCAATGTAACTAATCATACTAACAAACTAAAAAATAAAACCCAAATGATCTCTCAGCAGACACAGAAAAAGCATTTGACAAAACTAACATTCCTTTCTGATACAAATTCTCAGCAAAGTAGGAGTAGAAAGGCACTTCCTATGTAACAGTATGGATGGACCTAGAGGGTACTATGCTAAGTGAATTTAAGTCAGACAGAGAAGGACAAATACTGTATGATTTCACTTATACGTGGAATCTAAAAAACAAAACAAATGAACAAACATGAAGCAGAAACAAAGTTGTAGATACAGAGAATAAACAGGTGATTGCTAGAGGGGGTGGGGAGGAAAGAAACAGGTGAGGAAGTAGGAGGAACAAACTTCCAGTTACAAAGTAAATGAGTCAAAGGTATGAAATGTACAAGTGTTGGGAATACAGTCAATAACTATGTAATATCTTTGGTGACATATTGTAACTATACTTATTGTGATCAGTTTGAAATGTACAGAACTATGGAATCACTATGTTGTATAACAGGAAATAACATAATGTTGTAGGTCAATTATACTTCAAAAACAGACAAACAAACTCAGAAAAAGAGTTCATATTTGTGGTTATCAGAGGCAGGGATTGGAGGAGGGAGAATTGGATGAAGGCAGTCAAAAGGTAAGAACTTCCAGTTATAAGAGAAATAAGTACTAGGGATATAATGTACAACACGACAAATTAACACTGCTGTGTTATATATGAAAGTTGTTAAGAGAGTATATCCTAAGACTTCTCATCACAGGAAAAAATTTTTTTTTCTATTTCTTTAACTTTGTTTATATGAGATAATGGATGTTCATTAAACTCACTGTGATAATCACTTCCTGATATGTGTAAATCAAACCATTACTGTACACTCTAAACTTATACAGGGCTATATGTCAATTATATCTCAGTAAAACTGAAAGAAAAAAATTGAAAGGTACTTCCTCAATCTGATAAAGGGCAGTTATGAAATAACATATTTAATATCATATGAATATCTTTAA